AAAAACTGAATTTATATTTATGACGTCATTATTTTTATACTCGTTTGAACGTATCTCGCTTATTCTTGATTGATCGTCTCCCACCTATGAGTATGTTAAAGCTGAGACAATTATTTGGCGGAAGTTTATTTATTTTTATTTTGATGATCATGGTCAAAAAGAATGAATTTTTAGAGCCCTTTTATCTCTTTTTCTTAAAAGATGTAAAAAATATCAGACGCTATCAGATTGATATAGTACATTATAAATGGAAAATTTGTGTAGCATTACCAACCAACAGGTGTTTTTAAATTACTCTTTACAAGGATCAATTTCTCGTGCCATTACCGTCCACGAGCACGTCGTGACGTGCATGTACGGTAGAATTAGGAAATTCTCAATATCACTTTTCAGAAGAGGGCGGCAGACTGTATTTCGACGCTATCAGACTGATAGAAGGTTAAATTCTTGTGCCATTACCATCCACGAGCACATCCTGACGTGCATGTACGGTAAAATTTGGGAATTCTCAACACTTTACAGATAATTTAAATCAGGATTCAGGTCATTTTCAGCATCCCAAAACTTTCCATAATTTACGCACCGTACGCTCATTTCCACGCGCACTGCACGTACTAAAGCTGGTAATTTCGTTTTGTTACATGTTTTGGGTTCCTGACACTGTATTCATAAACAGGGGCCACATTTATCAAACTAGAATTCAGCTTAAATTCGTCTTAAGTACATTTTTTGCTTAAGTCAAATTTATCAATATTGCTTAGCTTAAAAATTTCTTAAAATTAGAAAATTGTACGTGGGCACCATCTAAGATGATTTTTAAGCCAAGATTTTGCTATGATTGGGTAATAAATCAGCTTAAGAGATATTTTTAGGGACATCTTAACTTTTTTGACTCAAGACATTTGCTAAGCTGAGATTAATAAATCCCGGGCCACAAGTAAACTTTTTGTGCCATTACCATGCGCACAGGCCTGAAGACGTCCGCGTAGGCGCGCGTAAATCTTTTCAAATGTTTAAAATTGCACTTTTTTAAGAACTAACTAGAACATATTTTAGGCCATTTTGAGCATTTAAAAACCTTTCAATCCGCACCGCTCACGCTTCCTGAGGGTCAAAATTCGGCGGATCACCAAACTCGTCCTCAGTGACGAGTTCAAATCTAGTTAATAGGTCTATTATTATTAGCCCTTAGTTTTAGGCCTACAACTTTTATAATCTACTCTACAGCAAAATGTTAACGTACGGCACCATCCTACCGGCACTGATCTGCTGCCGACCAGCATTGTTTTTCAATGATTTTGTAAACTTCAGAAACATAATTAACGAAATATCTTGCCCTAAATTCAAGAACTTCTAACAGTAAACGCCCTTTAAACACCGTTCACTAAGAAAATAACTGTGGAAGTACATGTTTCCATGGTTACTTTAATTGTTAATTAACTGCCTTGTGCTGGATAGGGCCAAAACATGGCCATTCGTGCTGAACAATTGTGCATGTCTGGAGAGTGATGAATTACCCAAAGCGAATTAACAGGGCTGAGCATGTGCGACAAGACCTGTTCAACTGATAGAAAGTTTAGTATTTCAGTACTGTACTGTTTATACAGGATAGAAAGCAAATTACACCATAGCAGATGTCAAGAAAGTTAACGATTATGATTATCAATGTCAAATTAAAATTAAATGCAAACATAATTAATATACAAGATTTTTAAAAAAAGCACTGCCTTTACTAAAACAAATGTGAACAACTCCATTCACCGAATCGCACAAGTTTGTCTGAACCAGCCAGTCGGCCATTTTCAGCAATGAGATTCTTTCTGTCTTTGATATTGGCGGCGTACAAAGACTTGACCTGATTCTCTCAAGAGTATTGTGGGAACCTACTTGTGGGAATGTTTCTCATTCAATTTACTGTTACTGGCAAATTGTAGTACTGCAATTAATGGTAAATGATCAAATTTCCAGGACATTCAAGGACAATCTTAAATTTCCAGGACTTTCCAGTACTGGAAAATGCTCATTTGTTTTTCCAGGACATTCAAGGAATTTAAGGACGCGTACGAACCCTGTTGATAACATTCCTGAATTGGCGGCGTACAAAGACTTGACCTGATTTTCTCAAGAGTATTGTGGGAACCTACTTGTGGGAACGTTTCTCATTCAATTTACTGTTACTAGGCGACTTGCACTACTGCGTACGAACCCTGAAAATAACTCTTAACAGAACTGATTGTTCAACCAAACTTGGTCTAGGAAACAGGCTGGTGATAATAGGCCCGGTTGGTATGGTACATCCTAATGCCAGTACGTAATAATAACATTTGTTATGCCATATGATGATCATTATCCCCGGCAGTAACTACAAACATCATATGATTTAATTTTGGAGTTAAAATAACTGTGAAATAATACTCTTGCAACGAATGGGGAGATTCATTTTTTCATTTCATACTGCGATAGCATTTGCCACGAAAATGGACCAATTGGCGGGCAGGCAGAGTTTTTGGGGGCGCGACCTGTTCTGTTTACAACTAGACTGCCGACCAGCAAGTGGCATTGCCCAACGAAGAATATGTGCTTGGAAAAACATAATCAGACCTAAAGAAATGCACGCAAAAACAATATAAAAGTCGCATCAGTTTTATTGGTAAAATAATTAAATTTGCTGAGTAGTACAGCAAAACAACAGGTACAGTACTGTACGTATTATTAAATAATGTGTTGAATTTGCGTAGGCTAGGCAGTCAAAAGA